CCGCTCCCACCACAAGGAGGATGTACAAGGCGGGAGGAAGGAGGAACAGGGGAGATATGCGGGGGCAGGCGGAAACACGCATGAAAAACACGACTGTCGGCATGCTTCGCAAGAGTTGCTGTTTTGAGATGGGCTGGTGGGGATACGCGAAGCGTGAAGAATTACTTTTGGTTATCTGTGGATGTCTTTCCAGGCGACGTTGGGAGCTCGCTGCTTCTGGAGGGTTTCGTGGGGGTATCCTGGGGAAGATGGGGGGTGACATTGACTGCAAAAGGGTTTGAAATCAAGCATTTTCGGGCACGTCCGTCAAGATGATGAATGAGTGAGATTGGATGAAGTTAGGGTATCCGATGAGTGACGGAGTGGATGAATCTGGCACCGGATGAGTGAGGGTACTGGATGAGTTACAGGGCGGACGAGTTCGGATACCGGAAGGGTAAAGCCATCGGATGAGGCAGGGCACCAGATGAGTTCGTAAACGGATGAGTTTGCCACCGGATGAGTTAGAGCACTTGAATTTGTGAGGCACCGGATGAGTGAGGACACCGGGTGAGTTAGGGCATCGGATGAATTAGGCAACTGGATGAATTAAAGACCGGATGAATTTGGCACCGGATGAGTCAGGCACAAAGCACCGGATGAAATCGCCACCGGGTGAACCGGATGAGTTTGGCACCGGATGAGGTAAGGCATCGGATGAGTTAGCTACCAAATGAATTTGACCACATGAGATAGGTCATGAGTGCTTAAGTCAGGCACCGGATTAGTTCGTTACAGGATGAGTTTGACCAGATGAATCAGCAACCAGATGAATCTGACCGGATGAGAGCGGCATCGGATGAATTACACCGGATGATTTTGACACCGGTTGAATTAGGCGTGGATGAGTTAGGCATCGGATGAGCTTGACCGGATGAGTTTGACCGGATGAGTTAAGCACCAGATGAACCAGCCCGGTTTCCGTACGCCCGCCACCGCGGCCAGCGATGCTTCTCGCCCTCCCCGGCCAGGCCATCTTCCTGGACCACCACCTACTGCCTGGCCCGATTGGCGCAGGCCAGCTCGAGATCCGACGAGCTGGAGGCAGATTGCAGGTCGTCCAGGACATCGGCCTGGCAGGGTGAAAAATTGGCGGAGAAGGAGGACGAATGGGACGAGGAGGAGGATAAGGAGGAGGAGGAGCATGGCTCAGAGGAGAACGAGGAGGAGGAAGAGGAGGAGGAGAACGAGGAGGAATGGGAGGAGGAAGAGAGGAGCAGGGGAAGGAGGAGGAGGAAGAGGAAGAGGAGTGGGAGGAGCAGAGGGAAGAATGAGACGAGAACAAAAGCAATTGTGGAGGAGACGGAGAGAGAGCAGGAGCAGGGGCAAAGTGATCTCCCTGCCAGTCCTCCTCCTGTTCTTCACTCCCCTCCCCCCCTCCCCTTGCCTTCTCGGCTTCCTCCTCCTTCTCCTCCTCGTCCTCCTCCTCCTCCTGTTTCCCCCCTCCTCTTCGGTCCTCATTCCCCTTCCTCCTTCATCCCTCCTGCTTCCTGCCTCCTCCCTGTCTCCCTCCCTCCCTGTCTCCTTCCCTCCTCCGTCCTCCCTCCCGTTCCCCCCCTCTCCGGGTGGGAGGGGAAGCCGGACGCGCCTGCGGGGCAGGCGGCTGCGCGGGCGGCACCTGGGGTGCCTGAGACCTGCTGGCCGGGGGTCTCGCGCGCGGGAGTCCGGTGGGATGGGACGACGCTGCTGGAGAGCGAGGATTGGATACAGCAGGGGCTCGACCACAAGAAACCTTCCACAAGAAATCGAATCCTGGAACCCCAGGACGTACATTGATTTTTGGTGCGGGAACGTCACGTACTCCGTAGCAAAACCATCGAAACCCAAGAAACCCAGGGCACCGTGGAGGCGAGCAGGGCGATTCTTGGCATGGGTTTCCACTGTAGGATCGGATGGACGGAAGGATGGCACGTTCACCGAAGCGGTGGCGAAAGCAAACCTGAAAGCCACAGAGGCTACGTCGTTCTGTCGGTCGTTCTCCCACGGCCGCCGAAAGCGAGGAGCAGCTGAAGAAGCAGGTCCCAAAGCACACGGAGGTCCTGGGAGCCCTCCAGAGAGAAGGCTGTGCACCAGCGTCGCGTCCCATCTGTAGACGCGTCCTCGCGCACCGCGCGTGCCCGTCCTGAAGGCTGCAGGTCCAGACACGTCTGTCACGATGCATAAACATCACGACCCGAGAAATCCGCGCGGGCCTCCCAAATTTTCACTGCTTTGGGGGGAAAGAAAGCGGTGACCATGACGAAGACTGAACGTGGAAACGTCGGTGCCAATCTTGGTCACCGTCCATATTGGTCACCGCCAAATTGCGGATCAAACTCGCGAATCGGCGATGGTCGGTATGGACCATGGCCAAGACCTGCATAAATAAGATCCCACGAGCTCTTGGTCATGGTCATCGTGCTTCTTCTCGAGGTTGTGCCTTTTTTGTTGCTCCAGAGGGGGAATGGGAGGTGGGCCAGAAGGAAAAGGACCCAGACCTGCTGCATCACAAGCAAATAAAGCAAGACGGCGGGTTTGTTCAAGTCTGGGCCCACCCCTCCAGTCCTTCTTGCTGGTTGCAGTTACCACGCCTACGGCGTTCCCCCAAAGATTCTGAACACTAGACGATCCAAACCTAACAAAACACTTGGGGTATAGGGAGCATGGACAGTCGAGGGTCCAAACGGGGTAAGACATTGAATGCGTACGGGCGGAAAGATGATCGTACGCGCCTTACCTCCTGTCAAGGGAAAAGTGAAAAGCCCAACCCCAGGGCGTTCTCGAGGCATGGCCGAAACTAAACATTGGAGTCTCTGGATACGCAACCTCGTCATGGACGCGCTCCAGCACTGGAACCCTTCCAGTGGACTGGCTCTAACACAGCCGATGGCATCTCACCTTCGGCCAGCCTATTTGCTTGAAGGATGTCGCCCGTCGCCCGTTGTCAGACAACTAGATGTCCGAAGGCTGCCCACAGTCTCCAGTACTTCTCCGATGACCGCCAAATCCCTGCGCAAAGATGGATTCCCCTTCAGCCAATCGCGAGCTTTGCAACCCTCAATTATCCTCCTCCTCCTCCTCCTGCCTCCCTCCTCCCTCCTCCCTACTTCCGCCTCGTGGTCCACGCCGAGTTCAGGAGAGGCAATTGCCATCTGAGACTCGCATGGCGAAGGGGGCCATTCCATGTCATTCCTTTACATTAGATTCCATTACTTGGCATTTCATTCCACTCACTCCTCATTGCTACCTCTGCAAGCGCGACCCTGAGATCCCGACTGACTTCGGTGCGTCCGCCCTTATCCTGCCTGACCGGCGGTATGCCGCATGCCGAGCCGTGTGCTCGTGCCTGGTCGTAAAGGTACGCTCGCTGCCGACGAACGCAAGTTCGCGCCTGCTCGTAGGGGCAGCGACGAACGCAAGATCGTCGCTGCCCCTGGTCGTAGAGGCACGAAGTGTGGTGCCCACTGCGAAGCCTCGCCCTGGGGAAACCAAAAATGACCGATACCGTCTCCCCAGACCTCTCCTGGGGTGCGTTCTGACCAGAATTTCGAGGCGAATCCAGCGGCGGCGACGAGGGCCTCCCAGCAGGCCCAAGAAGGGGAAAACGGGCGAAGGGTAGCAGTATGGTACCTTTTCCTCCTCTGACGCCCAGCCTCGACCAGACAATGCTGCGGGCTGCTCAAACCCACGTGCGCGCGCGAGAGAGGCACGCGGTCGGGGGCGGGGGCGGACGGCGGCGGCGGCGGCTGGGGAGCGTGGGGCGCTCTTCCCATGTCCGCCTGCGCCGTGTGCCCACCGCGACCTGGCATGCTCGCGAGAAAGGGGGAGGAGGAGGAGGAGGAGGAGGAGGAGGAGGAGGAGGAGGAGGAGGAGGCGGAGGCGGAGGAAGAGGAGGAGGAGGACGAGGAGAAGGAGGAGGAGGAGGAGGAGTAGGAGCAGGAGGAGTAGAAGCAGGAGTGAGACGAGGAGGGGGAGGAGGAGGAGGAGGAGGAGGAGGAGGAGGAGGAGGAGGAGAAGGAGGAGGAGGAGGAGGGACTGCTGCTGCTGCAGCCTGCACCTGTTGTTTCCATGGCAGCGGGACTACGCCGTCGACTGTTGGGCACCGCAGAACGAGGGTTCCTTACTTACTTTGGAGGCCAGTCCACTAGAAACCTTCCACAAGAAACCCAGCCCTGAGAACCCAGGACGTCCATTGATTTTATTGTGTGGAAGCGTCGCGCTTTCCATAACAGAATCATCGAACCCCAAGAAACCCAGGGCACCCTGGAGGCAAGCAGGACGTTCCTTGGCATGGGCCTCCACCGTACTGCACCAGAGGGGCCGCATGCTCATGTGGGAACAAGAGGCCTGGCACCCCCGAGCGGAGCGCGCACAGCGCTGCCAGGGGCATCCTGGCGCGGGGGCGCCTCAGCACTTAACGGCGAGATTTCTCCCTCCCGTGAGTCCGCAAGCGAAGAGCCTCGAGCCTCTTCCCAGGACTGCTCGAAGGAGGAGGAGGAGGAGGAGGAGAAATGGAGGAGGAGCAGGAGGAGGAGGAATACGAGGACTCCCGTCTTTCTTGAAGTTGTACAGATGCTGATCGACGCGGTCGCTGCGCCTTAACGCTCGTGGTGATACAAGAGAACCACACGCGTGGACACCAAAGTACTATGACAGCAGCACGTGCACGACAAGAACGATCGCTAACGAAATGGGCGAACACAAACAGGAAAGAGGGGAAGCCCGCAAGAGCATTGATGAGCGCACAACGGCAAGGCTTCCCAACACCCACACCACTGCACCCCTGCTTATCCTCCTCCTCCTCCTCCTCCTCCTCCTTCTCCTTCTCCTCCTCCTCCTCCTCCTCCTCCTCCTCCTCCTGAGCCTGCTTCCTCGCCTGCCCCCCCCCCCACCCCTCCTCACAATCAGAATCCTGCATCTCCTGCTTCCCTCCATCCCTCCATCCCTCCTACTTGCCCCTCCTCCTAAGTGTGGTTCGAGCG